AGTTTTCATATAAGCAAATATTTAAATTTGTGAAATCTTCATAGTTTAAGTTTAGCCGGACTACCACTGAAAGCCTGAAAGCAAAGGACGGTAGTCCCATCATAGAACAGGACCCCCGGCAGTGCAAATTCACAACCTTCATCCGGGTAAAGACCCCAAAACCTTCGATCTCGCTGGCAAACACTTAACCTCTAGATCAGTGAGCCTGCATCCAGGGGTGTTAATGTATAATTCCAGTCGATTTATGGTATTTTTACTTAACACCGAGTTAAAGTTTGAATTTTCCAATACCTGTAATTTTTAAAAATGATTTTAATAAATTTGAAATATTCAGGAATCAAATCTAGTCATATCCAAAAAGTTAATTCGGATTAGCTTGAAATCAGTAGTTCAAAGTGAAATGTTAAAAGATACCAACTCGAATATTACAAAGTCCTACAACTGCCTTATCAGGAAATAGAATTTTATGATTAGATTTGAAGGTTCTTTTTGAGCTTACTTAATTAAATGGCACTAAGTATAGTAAATTATCACATCATTCCTTTAACCACAAATAACAGATTTAATGATTTTATCAAAAAAGTTGATAATTATGTTATTCAATTAAATATGAATATTTACTTACCGTAATCAATTCTGAAAAAAATTTTCCCGAAATGTCATCGAATAAATTTTTCCTTAAATTTAGTTGCAAGAGTTCTGTTGATAACGCGAGTGTTTCACAAAGGTACTCAGCTGATTTAGAAGTTAGGTGATTTTCAGATAAATTTAGATTAGTTATAAAAGTATTCTCTCGAAGCATATGACATAAATGATTAACACACTGAAAATTAACACAGCAATACAAGATAATAAATGCTAATCACTGGAATCGGCAATAACTAAAAAGAACGAAGTAGTATTAAAAATTAACTGGTTAGTAATTCAAAATGATGTGATAGATAAAATAAAGCTTAATAGTCAGGTCTTAGTTGTAATATTGATGACTCCCATTAATAATATCGTTCAATCGTTTTTCACATCTAACCATGTGCATTTTCTAGTGAATACACTAATCATAGATTCGTTATTTTACTAGATAAAAGACCAGTTGATCTGGCCAGTAGTCGTAGGTTTAGTTAGCGTTAGTTAGTTTGTGACATTTGATTAGTATTTTATTACCATCAACAGCTGTCCCTCTGTCATATTGTGTCATTGCCTTCTTTTTATGGATTAGTATCCCAAACATTTATCTTAAATTACTTCAAACTATCTAGCATTCATCACATCATGACTGATAACGATTGTACTGAATTAAAGAAGACGATATAAAAGCATATTTTAAGATTAAACGCCTGGAACTGCTCGTGAGAACTAGTGCATATACCAAAATGAAAGTAGATTTCATTATGCTACTATATTCAACTCAAGCGCATACGGGGATTAGGTAGCAATATTTAAAAGAAATTTTCTCAACTGATATTTTTACTTCTAAAACGGAACTTAGTTGTACCGCTTAAATCTAAAATTCCTAATTCTAATCGGTCATTAAAACATTATGGTGGCAAAACATGAACTAAAAACTATGGAATATATGTATATTCGTATTTCATTTAAATTTTCATAAACCTTGCAAGCATAAAAATGTATGCCATTTACATATACACAAGTAGTTGTGAAACAAGTCCTGTAATTCAACTGTTGTAATTAATAATCAGTCTAGAATGAACTGCTTTTGTTTAAAACGTTTTGAATTTGTTACTGAACCTTCAGTGTATGTGAAAAAATGAAAGCCAGCATGTCATACAGTTTGAATAAGTGATTTTCAAAAGAATACAGGTTGATGTAATCAGTAAAAAACTACTTCAGAAAATAATGCCTAAGACAGCGTCTGTTTAATAAACCAGTTATTGTAAAAATAAGTATTAGACAGGCTACGTAGCATGATAGGATGACTTAGATTACCTGAGTTAAAAAGAACCAAGTCTGTTATGTGTTGCACTCATCTTTATGCAGGCCCATAGGAATTTACTAAAATGTTAGTTAAACTTATTAGCTGAGACATCTTTTGTTAATAATAAATAATATTTACAAAAAACTTTTAAAATAAATGATTTAAAGCTAAATCGAATATTTTCCAAGAAAATTATCCACTCGAATAACGTTTAGTTCACCAACTTGAAAATAATAATGCATATCTAAATTTTGTCATAAGACCTGACGACAGCAAGCAAAACAAACAGATTTCAATGGCTCGAGTATATTCTATAAAGCCTATAGTGAAAAATGGTGCCCGCAGTGTCTGTCTATTCTATAAAGTGATCAACAGTCTCGAAAAATAACGACTGTACACGCAACGGTTAACTCAATATTTTTAAATTCTATTTAAATCTACAAGTCTTTATACTGATCATCGTTTGTAATGTAATTTTTGGAAACAGCTGACCATGAGCTCTGACTTAAACAAAAGCATCAAGGTGGAGATCCTACATAATGTTTAATTATTGATTTGGTAGGCCTTTCAAATGAAAACACTTCCATGAAACTCCTTGGTCAATAGAGTCAAAATTCTCACAAAAGAGGAAGTATTCGTTTTTTTAAATCAACCAATTTCTTATTATTTGCACGTGAAATATTACATTTGCTACTCTGGTTACTTAAAATGAGTAAACTACCTAAGTCAGCCATTTTATTTATACCTGTGTGAACTACTAACCTTGTGGACGTTTTAGATACATCAAGTTGAGTAATATAGCATCCAGTACTTAGGAGTTACTGGTGTAAAAGTTGTCACAATGCTTTTTGGTACAAAGTTTCTCATCACAAAGGACTGAATATATATGCAAAACATTTCATGGCTTTATATAAGATAAACTCGAGTTCAAATCCAAATAAATATAAGGACAGATTTAAGATATGAAAGCTGAAAATAAGTCACACACAACATACTTAACAATGGTTGTTAGTAAAAATATTACTGACTATCTAGCTTGTATGTCATTCTCGGGACTAAAATGGCAAAATAGTTATCCTTATAAATCTAACGAAGAATTACGGCGGAAATTCCCTAAATTTGGAGCGCCAGGGTCCTTTTCACCTTACAAAAACAACACTGATAAAACCGCGGGCTGAAAACGGAAGTAGTGAGTTCGGAATTTGTAACATATGAGTAAGTCCGTGGGCAGATGACAACGGACCTAACGTTAACACTTCAAACTGTAAAGTAGTCCATCTGAGACATGTTACAGACTAAATTTAGAACTTGAGAAACTCCTCTGTAGAAGTATCACAAGTTGAAAAGTATTTAAGAGTGGTGGTACACTACAATTTGAAGTCTTACGCTAACTGTGAAAAAATGCTTTTCGAGCAAACCTTGCACTAGTAACATTGAAGCTCATTTTTGGCCAGTTTGACGGAAGAACTTTCCACATAATCTTCAGCAGTCTTATTCGTTCCCATTTAAAGCATGGAAACATAGTATTTCCTACTTCACTTCAAAAGAATAAGGACACTCTGGAGCATATCCAACTGCGAGCCACGAAATCGGTCCGTTGACTCAAATTCAAGCTTTACGAAGAGCGCCTTCAATCACATAACCTTTACTCATTAGAGTATAGGCATCTTAGAGGTGACCTAATGGTTTACAGTATGTTTGACACTTCTGGACATCCCTTTAAAAACCCTCTTTTAGTTTAGCTCCAACACAAGCCTAAGGGATAACACCCAGAATTTAGCGAAAAAACATAGCAGAACGGACTGAAGACACAATATCTCCTTACTAGTTCTCGAATGCTGAAATTCGCTGCCAGCTGAGCTATTTTAAGTGATTTCACAGAATTCCATTAAGAGGAAACTCGACCTATTTTTAAGGACTAAGGATAATATCTTACTATGATTTAGCAATTTCTTTTTTTCTATTATCTTTAATACACCTAAGTTTCTGCCTGAAGGTATTAGTGATACACTGCTACTAAACGCGGAAGCCCGTTAAGCAAAAGCTTCCTCTATTTCGTCTACAACCGTTTGAACCATTTTGCAATAGCGAGTTTCTTAAACGGACAAAGCTAAATGGTTTGCAAACAAGCTATCTAACTACTTATAAATTTTTGCACACGTCTCGGTACTGCTTTATCTAAGTTCCTTGGATACGGAATAATTATTGTGATATTCTGTTACAAGGCCTGTGAGCTTAATCGAAACAAACGTTATGAGGAAATATTTAAAAAATACCAACTGAACTTGATGTAAAAACCACTTCCATGCATCAAACCTGCGTTAAACATGCGTGTGGGGAATTATTACCTCATCGTTAAGACAGGTGTTCGTAAGGTCCAATTGAGTTATGTTCAAACTGTTTGAAATGCTGGAAAAAATTGGCTTGAGTTTTTTAAGTCCTAAAACGCTATACTTCAAGCTTATGCTCTCGTCCTTTAGATGGCGAATGAAGTATCCTGATGGCAAAGCTCCGCGTAACCTGCAATCATTTATGTATTCTAATTGATCTGGGTCAGTATACCAGTTATCTATATTTCAGAAATAGTTTACTACAACAGCAATACCTTTTGCTGACAAAAGCCTTTTGCATCTTTTTATATGCGAGTTGCCTGCCAACTTTGATTGTTCCTTGCTTATAGAGCTATCTTTCATTGTATTGGCGAAGTTTGTAGTGTTACTCTGATCCACAACAACGGTAGTACTAGGAATAACAGTATTTTCATCTTTCTGTTCGGTAGAATGTTTTTCATGATTTTGTTCGTCTATCTCCATGAACATATGCTATCAAAATGATAATTTTCTTACGACAGTACAAAAAAGGTACAAAAACTCGGCAAGTCTAAGACGTGAAACTGAAAGCGAAAACAAATAGTAAAATCAAAAATTTGACAATGGTTGCTACGACATTATTGTTCTAAACAAAATTGTATTTATTTGTTTATTCAAGAATATGCTTAATATTCGATTTTACTTTCATTTAATATTTTACATTCAATAATACAACTTTACAATTTTGGCAATTATTCAAAATATTCGGTGCGTTGTCCTAACATGTTTAGCTTATGGAAGCTGTTTGATGAATCGATTTAATGAAAAATAGAAGCAGCACATCAGGGGATGAAATAGAACAAGAAATTCCATGTAGCACAAGTTCGAAGAAGAGCGGTTTTGCATATGTTCGTATTAATACCCCTTCGCAGCTAAAAGATGAATATGACATTGGTCCAGTCATCGGTGAAGGTACATTCGGCATTGTTTATCATGCTTCGAGAAAAACTGATGGTGTGAACTGTGCAATTAAAAAAGTAAGTACGGCTAGGAGCTAGACGTATTGTTTGTCATCACATATAAATACATGTGTTTTTGATGAATTGTAAGACATTACTAATCTTCCTTGCACCAATACTTGACATCACATGACACCTGACTTTCAAAGAGTAGATACGTAATTCTAGTTTTTAGGCGTTTCGCGTGACAATTCATTAATCACTCATTTGTAAAGCATGACGGTCAACAACTATCCTGAACTAGATGTGACCATATTAAGCCACACATACGATCAAATAAGGTGAACAAATTTTGTCTGTCACTTAAAAGTTCACTTTCGCGTGATAAGAAGCTAGCTTATTTCATATGCTTGTTTTTTAATGTGGTGATACTTTTAATCAATGATATATTACGATTTATATAGACTTCCACAAAAATCTATATTACTTTGGAATTTTCAGCAAATTGTATCTATCATTTTAATTTGCAGTGTGACCATGCCTTCATATCAATCTATAAATCAACACCGAAACTTATTTGAAACATATGTGAATAAAACAACTATTCCAACACAAAGCGCCGCATCGAAATACTTCATTAAATCAAACTTACAATACTGCTGGACCTATAATTATCAATTGCTTGATTTTTATTTCATGTTTACGGATGATGTTTCATAAAATTAAGTTTTCCTGTAATAAAGGTAGATACGATATGTAAACACCAACTGTTAATAAAAAGATACAATATAGTATGAAAATCTTTTACCATATGATGTCAAACAAATTTTCTTTACAGAAAGACATAAGAGTTTTTGACGATAATCCTTTGGTTACCTATAGAATTTTGTATAAACTCTCGTTTGTTGCTTGCGCCCGGTTAGTCCTATGTGAATCAGGGGTGAAATTTAAACTCTTTTTCACAGTGCCATTAGGAAAACTCGCTCCAAATGGCTCCGATTTTCCAAATTACCACCACTTTGGGTGACTTGTTTGTCTTATACCATTTAAGCGGGTGAGATAATAAAAAATATGATAAGTTTCAGTTTTTTGCATACAATTGAAGGCAATTTCCATCAAATGAGAACCTTGCAACCGTCACTGTGACAGCACCACAAATTTTTCACTATTAGTAAGATTACCTAGTAAACGACATGAATTTTAGGCTTGACATAAATTTTACACCGCTCAATATCAAATATTACCGAGTTTTATTATAATGAAACTGACCTTCTGACTACTTGTAAGGAAACGTCTTTCGAATTTGGACGACTTTGGGAGTTAAATTGCATCACCCAACCACTGGTGGCTCATAAAGTTACTAAGTATTCATCTTATTTTTCAACTAAGTATATTTTTCTGGTTTGCCTCTTGAAGGCTATTTTGGAGAATGAATGTTATTTGTATAGATAGTTTCAGAACTTGTCAACATTCAGTATTCTGATTTTATCTAACTTGACTTCCTCTTGAATAAGTAACATTATGATATATAACTGGCAAATTGTCTAGTTAAAGGTGGTTGTCTGTTGCAGTTTATAGTATACATTAATGTAAAACCTAGTATCTTATCCCCAGCATATGACATTTTTTTGTTTATCTCCTTTGTTTTGTCTAGACTGATTAAAATAGTTTATGAGATATGTATAATAAGATCTAATAAAAAAACTTGTTAATTGCCAGCTCCACTTTTAAACATTAAATAAACTACTACTAGCTGAATGTGCATATCATCGACTATTTTAATTGAATTTGTGTAACAGTAATGTGGAATGGTCTATTAATGGAGATTTCTAAAAATGGACAAACAATACAGTTTATACTTCTGTCAATACTTTTTAAAAGTTTAAACAGCTTAGAAAAATGCACTAAAACTTGACCGAAGACTTTAAATGTAATAACTAAAATTCTTTCTCAGCAGTGCCGACAGACTCACTCTAGTTCTTCTAGATTTTGAATTCTAACATTCTTTCGTGTACACCTTTCCATTTCGTCCTTTTAAACCCTACTTTTATTGCTTAATCTCCTTCATTTTCGTTACTGCTATGTTTTTGATTTTCCTTTTGTTTGTATTTTGTTGACTTTATCTAGTCCCAATGACTTACGGGGACTTAAGTCAACTTATATCTATTTCAGGCTTTGTGTTGATAGTGACCGAATCAATATTATACGTCATCAAATACTTTTCTATTGTCAAGCAAATTCACCATTTTGGCATACAGTAATATTAATAGTCATGATTACTACTCACGACTTGATTCATTTATTTGTTAACTAAACAAGTAAAATTTATGGCGGTTTGTTATAACGTTTATAATTTAGACTTCAGAATAATCAACACACCACTGATTTGTGTGGGAATGCGTATTTATTCGATTACATATCCCTGTTTAATGGTGATTCGGTACTATATATCTGATTTGCAAGTATAATTAGTTTATTTTCAGTTTAGTGTGAACATGTGTGCTTTTATTCATTAATTATTACCTATGGTGACAAGTTTACCTAAAAGAAATCTCATATCTTTGGTCATTTCCTCCATTTGTTTGATTATGAATATAACCGCTTGCTATGACTACGCATATAACTGACCTAATTATTATGTAGTGTTTTTTTCTGTACACGATGTCAGTGAGAAGTTATTTTGAACAAACTTGTCATGTGATAGTCATTTGGAGTTTGTTTGCTTAGTGCGTTCTTACAACTTCAGTCAATCAGTTATATTTAGCGCGGAACCCGATTTTTTCTTAATGAGTAAAAGTAGGTCAAATACTTTATATTATACCGAAATTTTATCACTTAAGAAGCAGTTTACTTCATTCGACTCACCTCAACTAGATAAGTATTTAAAACTGACGAGCACGCTGGACATCTGTCCAATCATAGTATATAACTTTTCAACAGACCACATCTACTACCGAAATTCAAGTCAGTTTACGGGATAAATCATCTTTAGGATGAGTAATCTCCACTATCATACCGTGCCAAGTATGCTTGTTTCGGTCTCAGTCAAAATGAGATATCATCAGGTGACTGCTTTATTTCTTAAATGCATAAATACATTAGTATTCTTAAATCCATAACAACCTATTGTATCAAAAACTCGACCTTCAAACTTACATACATAATCGTTTTTTCATTTAATGTAATCCTTCAATTACTGTTTCACTCTATTACTATTATTATTAAGAACTGAATCCATTTTAGGGAAAATGTCAGTGAAAACTGTAGAGTTTTGTAATCACTCAATAAATAAAACTTTTTAGTCCAATATTCACAAAACTGTTCCAAGTCTCTCATACAGGTTAATTTGTGAGTGGTGTATTATTCAAAATGTATCTCTTAATCCCAGATAATTAAAAAAACAATTATTTAATATGTCACATCATATAAATCAAAACAATATAATATAAGCAAACAGTATTGTTTCCAACTAAATTATCATTCTTTACTTTCTAATATACAGTAATATTTCCATGTATATGTGAAATACTAAATCAATCAACGCACTTTGTCAGTCTACGAAACAAATATATTACTTAACTGATCATATTAAGTCACAAATATAAAGTAATAATGAGATGCCAGGTGTGGTAGTCATGATAATTATAATAAATAATATGAACAAATATTTTGGCAATGGGATCAAAATTAAACTTGCTAAAATTGACTTTGATAAATTATTTTATATGAAATGTATGAGTGGTTAATCATTTTAAGTATGTCAGGAGTAAAAACAGAGATATAAAGGAAGTGAACAGAGGAAATTAAAAAAGGGTAGACAGCATTGATGAGAGTGTCCGTCAGTTTTCCTTTAGCCGAACGAAAGACAAAGGTATAATAAGCTTCTTTAGAACAGAAAAATCAAGGGTTGTCTACTCGAATCTTTATAGCTTTTGCTTCCTAATAGATATGAGATCCGATCTCATTGGGAGATATTGAAGGCGTTTGATTAGTCACTTTAAGTCATGTGTGTCAAGCTAGAAACAGTTTACGGATGACAAATACGTGTCACGTCATTTTTATTACCACTTACTACTACCACGTAGTAGCACTTTTGTTTGAGAAAAAACCGCCACATCCCTTTAGAAACAATATCTTTTTTTAGATTAAAATTGGCTTCATATCTTTAACGTAATATCTTCAATTCCTTTTTTTCATTGTCATTGTAGATTTCACGCATAAACTCCTTCTCTGCAAGCGAGCGTGCTCGTTTAGATCGTGAAATATCTATATTAAGACATGTTAAACATCCTGGAATTATAAAACTTTTATCTGTTGCTGAATCACCAAAAGTTATATTCCTCATAACTGAATTATGTGAAGGCAATTCACTAGATCATTATATGAAACAATTACCAGAAAATGCTGGGCTACAAGAATATATTGTGGTAGCTATTGTAAAGCAAATAGCTTCAGCTTTATCTTATTTGCATAATCGAGGTATTGTACATAGAGATTTAAAACCTGGAAATATTATGTTATTAAACAAAGTAGAATTAGATTTTCGTACTATACCTCCGGTGAACTTTAAGTCAAATTTTAAATATTCATCGGACAGTAGAATAATTTCTTTCGATTCTCTTATTAAGCATCAAAAACCTGAAAATGAACACATCGAGGTGCATAATGACTCGTGTTCCAGTCACAGTGGTACACGATCAGAAATAACAACGACGACAACAATAACAACTGAAACAATATGTTCATCTGTATTTACTCGAAATAAATCAGTAAATTCAAGCACAAAACCATTGCCTGTTTGCTGTAGACATGATTCTACATTATTAGAATGTAATACAAAAACAAATCATAATTCAAACATCCAACCTAGAATCCCATCATTTCAACTTGATGATAATTATTGTATAAATGTTGAAAATAAATATCCACCTAAAGAATTACAAACGAAATTAATTGATTTTGGCTTAGCCATAGAAGTACGCAAAAGTGAAGAAGTATTAGCTAATCCATGTGGTACACTATTGTACATGGCACCGGAAGTATTGAATGGACGATCATATACACGTCAATGTGACTTATGGAGTTTAGGTGTCATTATCTTTATATTGTTAACAAATCAAACACCATTTAATTCACAAAATGAAAAACAGTTAATCAATGAATTAAATCAACCTAATATACAAAAGATAATAGAAAAATTAGGCAATTATATAACATCATTATGTAAAGAATGTTTAATACGTTTATTAACTGTTGATCCAGCTTATCGTTTAACCGCTAATCAACTTCTAATTGATCCATGGTTATCATTTTATCCAGTATATAATTCAAATGAAATAGTGAATAATAATTTGAATGCATCTAAAAAAGAAAAGGAATATGAACAAATGAATTTATCAACAATTCATTCACTTAATAATTTGCCTGGAAATTCTATCACAGCATCTTCTTATAGTAGTAGTAGTATTAGTAATATTAATAAATGTGTTTCTCGGCCATCATCATTTTCTCGTTTCAAGACAACTGATACATATTCTACAACGAATGTACTTGAATTAATGAAACAATATCATAAAGAATTGAATAATTGTAAGCAAAATGTTGAGAAGGTGAATCAATAAGGATGTCTATAATTCACATCATAAATGTCAATTGATCAATAAAATGTAATGATTATTATTAAAGATTATTCAATTTATTATTATTACTATTATTATTATTATTATTATTATTATTATTATTATTATTATTATTATTATTGGTCTATTTGAATATTGTTTAATGCATAGAAGGATTTCTTTTCAAAGTTGAATTTTAGTGAATTTACTTTCAATGTCCAATGAGAATTTATTTTTACAAAATCGATCTAATTGTAAATGACTTGTAATATAAAATTTCTATTCAACTGGTTGAGTTACACTTGTTGTAACGTTTCAATTTATTTTTAGATTTATCAAATACTAATTTATATTTATATATCTTCATCGTGAAGGGAATTTCAATGTTCTCCCAGTTTTTTTTATTTATTTACTTATTTATTTATAAATTTCAATAAAACAAGAATAACAACTGTAGTAGAATATAAATGATAATTTATTCATTTCACAATTACTCTTCAGTTGCTTACAGCTTAAATACAATCGTATTCACTATATATATATATATATATATATATATATATATATATATATATATATGAAAAAGTGTATACGTACAACTGATAATTCTTGCGGATTGAACGCTATATTCGTCTCCTAAGCTATTCTGTAACCCCCAAGCTAGAACTAGACAGCAACCTGAACACGAGAAGACTCAAAGTATGCGAGAAGTACTTTTTCTCCAAGGTTCATTTTAATACAGAAAATACAGGGTTTTTTTTAATAATATTTTAAATGTCCTTGGGTTGCTAGAAGATTCTGGAATGCTACTAAACATAGTAGCAGTGTAGCAGCCAACCAATCAGAGCCTCTGAATGTGAAGTTTCGCTTCCTTGATATTTTTGGCCAAGACTCCAAGTGAACGCTGATTGAATGAAAGGCCTCTTAGTATTTCCTGATGCTTGATTGTCTTTTGCAAGCAATCTTCTGGATCACCCCAACAACAATCATTAAACCAGGTTTACAGAGAAGCAATAACCGAATTCAATAATAAAATATAATTAGATTAATAAAAGCCAATACCTATGAAAATGTCAGCTAGAATCCTTTATAATTTTTTAAAACATTTACCTTTTACCAATAATCTATCTAACTATAATCTACCTGCTTCAGTAAACATAATATGAAGTATGTATGCATCCTCATTTTTTTCTAAATAGTTATTACTACTGTATTTAAGCTGTGAGCAACTGATGCATATCACTGAAATAAATCAAGTCTTTTTATTATCATGTTACTATAGTTCTGTTTTTTGTTGTTGTTGTTGTTGTTGGAATAGTTTTTAGAATGTATATATTTTAACGAGTTAGATAGCGCCGTAAAATGAATTCATTCATTTGTTTATTTAAAATTTATTGTAATCATAATAAGAAAGCGGTAAGTAAATGTGCTTCATTCACTCTTTAAGAATAATAACATATTGATTATTGTATTAGTTATAACATAATGAGGCTTTTATTTTGTATTATCATTTGTAACATTCTTAAACCTCAGATATCGCTATTATTTATACTTTTTAGCGGTGTATATGTTCGTCGATTCATCCGTTTTTTTTTAAATTGAAAACAATCTTTTTCATGATAAAGAAAATTTTGTAGGTTAAGTTAATACCCATGGTAAAGAGTATTGTTTGAGCTTTATGGATTTGATTGTTGTATTAAAAAGCATTGCTAGTGCTTACTTGAGCATATAAGACTAGTTCTATTTTAAAAACTTTCAGTTAATAAACATTAAAGTTTTAATAAAAACCTAGTGCACTGGACAGCCAATTCGTTCTAACTTAGGACTCCTGGGTTCAATCCCCGTAGCAGACTCGTGTATACACACTGCTCAGCAGTCTCAAACTGAAACGGGACAGCTATTCCGTGCTACCTGGTTTCCTATGATACTCTAACTAAAATCAGAGAGTTCTGTTAGAGGTATGAGGGAGGTTATCACTTCCCGGTTGCCCACACCGTGGAAGGGTTCTTCTAGAGGTACCCAAAAATGAAATTGGGTTAGGGTTGGTCTTAGTGACCTGATAGTGTGACCGCAGTGCCCGAGAGACAAGTGCTAGAGATCGGTCACACACGACCATTTTGTGGGTAATTTTTGTGTTAGCTCCGTACTTCTTGAGACCTTACCGCCGGAGACAGATATATGTAAGATAAAGTGAGATGTGCATTTTTAGGGTCGACCTTTTCTAACCCCACCCCTCCTTGTGGGAAGGCAGCATCTCTGTTATGCTGGTTGTCTGAAGGAAACACGTTACTGCTGTCACACCTCTGTACATTCAGCAGTACGACTTCGCCCTCAGACCTTGTGTTACCTGCTTTTAGTCTAACCGCTCTTCAACCAACCTGTTTGGCATTGTAGGATCTTGAGAAATGACTGTTCCAGCAAGTATAGCTCGATTGATTCAAGCCTGATCACCATATCAAGGTAGCAATCTGTAATAAATACAACCTACAACTTAAACCAATCTCTACAAAATCTCCCTAAATAAAATATGAAAGTAACTATAGAATAAAATAATAATCATTATTGATCTTTGCTCCAAATTGATGTTTATCAATGTTGAATCAATGTGTACAGGAATAATAGATTGAATATACAATATTTATAAGATGGAATTGTAACCATTGTAATATACCACGTAAATTTCCCTTATTCACTGTTTAATCACCCAAGTGAGTAAAGAAAAATAAGATTTTTTGTTCATAAAAACACTATGAAGTTATCATTGATTTACTTGATTAATTCATGTGTAAATATTATTTATATATTTATTATAATAAGTTTTTTTTTCCTAAACTATTACTTCCTTATCGGTAATTTCTGTTACACCATCTGCAAAAAAATTAGATCGAAAGCTTTCAATTACACATTTCTTTAGGTCATCAAAATACAAAGAGTTATATTTAACTATTTAAAACTGTAAACGAAATATATAAGTAGAGTGGATAGTTTATATCTCATAGAATAACACCTGTTCTTTAAAATATTTCAAAAGTATATCCGCAACAATATTTATGGTAACATTCAAAGATTCACCATCTAGCCTACTAATTTCCTTCAGTAGTCTATGTAGCAAAGCAAAATATTGTCTCTTAAGTTCAAGTAAAAGCAATAGAGAACAATATGTAATATTAAGTAATTTAGAAGAATGAATTAATCCTAAAAGTGACTTTTAACTAATCTTAAAAAATTTTAGTCTCGTTATATAGTAAGTTAGACAAAATCTCTCCTTGATATTAAAAAAAACAACGAAAGACTAGGCGGGTTTAGAAATAAAACTGAGAATAAAATATGTAACAGTTAATATGACTATTAATAAAGAATCTCCAATAGCAGTAGCTCTACAGCCTATTAGAACAAATAGCGGAAATTTAGGATTACACCACCATATTACAAGATAAAGACTAACTTTTCTCATTTATTTGACAAATTCATTTAAAAAAATACAACAATTACATGGTGGATATATGAGAAATGTTTTGACGTTACTCACAGATGGGTGTTCTGTTCTGCATTATAGAACTTTCCATTTGACCACAGCTAATCAGCACCATAAATGTGTTCAGTCTTTTATTATTATTATTATCTGATTGTTCGACCTACGGATTACTTAGATCAAACATTTAAGTATAGAGAATGACTATCCTTAATCTTAAAATCATTTCAATAGATACTGAGATGTTTTAGCTGGAACTAACTAGTACTTGCATACAGTTAATAACTATGATCTAGCCTTTTTAGCTTTAAATATTGTTTTCATCCTCGTCCATTTATGTTTAACCGTACTTTGAATAAATATACATCTTTGAAATTTGAATAGCACACTTAAATAATAAGTTCAGTATTAAGTATAAGTCACTCATTGTATCATTATATTTATCATTTATAATTATTTGTAAATATTTACTGAATTCAACTAGAGTTATCTCACCTAAAGAAATCAAATTTTCTGACAACTTTCACCAAAATTCTTTATAGACTTAATAGAATCTGACACAAATTGTTTGTTATAACTTGTCGTTTGAATGCTTATTGTCTTGGCTCATTTATTGCTACTTTTTGTATATGGTCGTCGCCGATTGTTATTTCGGAAATGCTTATCACTTATACTCGGAACGAGGGACCTCTACAATTCCCACGACGTGAAAGTAAGAACACAAAGACTGGTATAATTGATTTGTTAACCCTAAAACACGACGACGACAACTCTAGTTGAAAGTACACTCATTTATATATTGATTGTACACCCATTTTGATTAATAATTAGAATGTAATCACATGTATGAAAAATGCTTAGAGTTATGACAAATCACAGAGTGAGCATAGTACATGTCAATGGAATACAAGAATATCGTATATTATACAGAATAAAAAATCATGAGAGAAAAGAAAAGAAATACTACATTTAGTAATCATTACATTGAATCAAAACGGAAGTAATCTTGAACAAAATTCATAATGAGTCAGTCAATCGAAAATCGACTTTTCTTTCCATCATATCATTGGTAACAATCCAAGCTGTAATACTTCAAATGAGTATAGCTAAAATAAAGTTAAAACTGAATAATTTTAATGAATTATATCAATGCTTATGAAAACCATACAATGAATGTGCATTAGCAAGTATTTATATCTTTATGTCGCTTATATACGGTACTGACATTCGTCAGTCTCCATTTGGTTATCTGAATCCTGAAGGGATGTCTCGATATTGCTTCCCAATTATAATAGTATAATCTGTTCAAGCTAATATAAATTCATAGCTTCATCAATTAGCTTACTATTTCAACAGATTATCCTATTCTAAAAACTTAAGCATAACTTACATCATGATTCCGTAAAACAGTAGTAATGGTTCTAAGATATATGTGAACAAAAGTACTGGGATTATACGTGAGTTCTCATGAATCTCATATCTATCATGTCTATCAAAGAGCTAAACTAAATTCTAAGTAAGTTTTCTTATGTGAATAGATTTAATCGGATGAAAAAATTGCATGACTTGGATGGATATTTTAACAAAATAATTTTTTCTCCAATATTGATTGTCTTACTACTTATCTTTTC